GTTGAAGTTATATGGTACTATTTGAACAAACAGAGCAAGGTAATGTTAGGAGTTTTTGGGCAGATGCGCCATGTATGCTTTCGGTCTCCAAGCTGCCTATCGATTCTATGAATTTCCAGGACCACAGCTCTCTAACTTATCTTCAACATCGATATATCGTAAAGGTAGCAAGGAAACAAATTCTCCTAACATTGCCGAGTTTCTGATCAGAATTGGACACAAGTATTAGAGAAATGACACAGCGAATTAGAATTCACTGTTCAAGTTTTACTTTACAGAAAGCCTCGGTATGGTTTTACAATCTCCGCATTAATAGTAACCGGCCTACTGCCTTGCGTATTAGCCGCTAATTTTTCCGTAAGTATTATTCTTCTTTTTTCTGTTCTTTAATGGTAGTCATGTTTAACGTTGATAATTAATGATTTGGCAAAACAAAATTCCCAGCCACTTACTGCTTCCATTTCTCGTGACTGTGATTTTAGTTTGCTAATTTTAGATAAGTAATATGTAGTACACTACGGTGCACAACAGATCGCACCCCATAAAGAACTCAGTTTTCAAGAGTGACCAGAACTTTTATTTAACTTTTATTTATTTGACCGATCGCTGGCCGTTGGCCTCCTTGGTAGCCCTCGCATACTGACTACAGAAGTCGGGCGGGGGTTCTGCGCGCCACTTCCGGGTGACGTCCTAGCATTAACACTGATTCTTTTGCGACTTTTAGACATGTTTGGTGTGACTGGGGTCTTCATCAGCCGGCCTGTCAACCTGGGCCTGACGCTGGTACTAGAACCATTTTTGCAATTTTTGCAGGGCATGGTTTGAGCCTCGGCAGGGATCGAACTCGCGGTTTTCAGAGGTGCAGACGTGAGTCCATACTTTCGCTACTCGGCCATATCCCTGCATTGTCAAACGTTCGGACATATTCCTATCAATGTTTTGCCGCTGTGGTAAGGTACTCTGGACTTACACACAAGGAGTAAATAACTGTACTGAATTTTTCTTCCCATCGCCCACAACAGGTCACGAAATTATAGATGGCAGAAAACACGCAAATGATATGGAGAACATTCTTTGAAGTCGTGACCGTTCTTTCTGTCTGAATGATGTAAACGAAAGTGCACATCCACCATACTCCCTCCTATTAGCACTCAATTCATTTAGGAGCTACCGAATTTTCTTCTGCTCCCCGCTGCGTGCTACGCGATTGGTATTATAAAACTTTCATTTATGGCACACGCATCTATTATATCGGCATTGTTCACATATCTAATATAGTTACAGCATTTGTGGTTTACGTTGGTTCTGGAATGAGTAGTAACTTTTGGTACGAGTAGGTTTTCTGTGAGAGTATGGTAGCATTGCGAAACGTTTCCGTATGCTTTCAACTTTTTGATAACGGCGAGTCGAGCATAGAACATTCCACTACAAAAAAAACCTGTCTGGCACATAAGTAACGAGAACACATGTAAAAAAAGACGAGAATTCAAGAAAGATGGCCATGGAGGCCAAGAAACTTTTGGAGACTTTTTTCCTGGGTAATGGATCCGTTTCAAAGAGTTCCTTTCAGAGACCCCGTAGCGTCCTTCTCACACTTCCATTGCAGGGGAATTAACACGTTGACGACATCGCGTGTTTTGGCATTTTGCACCGCGTGGGACAGGAGCGATTTTGCGAGCGCGCCGTCCTCACCTTACTTCCGCTTATTTTTGTGTGAATCTCACAGAATTATTTCGGCAAGGATGAAAGCATGAAGGGGGTCAGCACATGGCTAGCCATAAGTGAACTCCACCATATTGTAAAAGGGCTGAAACTTGAGGTAGCAGGTACATTTCACCCGTATCTGGAAGGAAAGGGAAAAGAAGAAAGAATTAACTGAAAATAACTCAATTAATGATTACTTTTTCGCAAGTTAGGTAAGCCTACAGTTTAAGCGGCCTAAAAGAAACTGGGTGCTGAGGCGAGATAACAGACTCCGAGATGAGAGAGTATAGCAAAAAAGCAAGATGCAGATACCGCAATGGTCGGCGCGCATGGTCGCCTTAGGTTCACCTGCCTTAGGTTTTTTTCGCAATTCAAGGTCGAAGCAAATTCAAAGGTTCCTATATGAAATGTACTGCTACAAAGTTCAGTCCGGAAGACAGCGACAGGTATATTTGCAATTTCCAACGGAAATTGCTCACGTTGAATTGCTCTTCCAGCAATTTGCAATTCCAGTGTTGGAAGTTCTACATGAGAAGGCAAGTGAACGAAAAGCTGCAAAATGTAATGTCTGCGACAAATGCTATGTAATTTCCATTGCATCCTTCATCAAAGCATAAAAGAGAAAGCTTTGTGAAAATGCTCATGAAAGTTTCTAGAATATCCTCATGCCACTCTTGTTACTCCCTCCATTGTTCAGGAGAGAGATTTATCTGTAGCGTACATC